GATTGTGGAACGATTCTTCTGGCAATATTCGCCAGTTGGATCGGGCAACCAGTTTCGCCGAATGGGTCGTCAAGCTTCGAAAACCATGGTGGCGCTGCTATTCTTTTGCGTTTGCAGCGAATGTCAATGGTATGAAACGTTTGCATTGCCTCTCCGAGCGAGGCTGCTTGTGAGTGCGAGCCTACTGGTTTCCACCCACTGAGCGGTGATTCGAGGACGTCGCAACGATTTGCGTGTAAATCCTCTCACGGGCGAGAACGCGGCCATGTGGCAACATCAAAATGCACCAGTTAGTTGCGATACATCAACTTCCACCAGTGACAATACTATGCGATCACGTGGTAATGCGTCACCATGATGACACCACCATAATGTGCCAGCCATTGGCAGTAGTATTGTACCAACACTTTTTGACAACATCAGAATGCACCAGCCTTCTCTATCTCCAACCATAGTACGCGCACATCGATCCATCATGCATTATGATTTTCACGCGCGCGGCACGAGTTGAACATGACGCCACCAAACTATTTGCAGCATCGCGTCGCTCGAACACTCCATGTTGCACTTTCACGCGGCCATGCAACTCGCTTCTGAAACGCACCATATAGATAATACAGGAAACCCCTGTGACGCTAGTGTGTTTAGCTCTTGCTTTGCCAAAAACAATTCGCATCCAATCTCGAACATTTGTCCCCCAACTTCTACTGCGTACTCCAACCCCAAGGATCTGAGTTGCAATGCCTTATACATCGTAACCCCAACGTCACACTGTAACAACACCCCGGAAACGGTGCGGGACCAGCAATCTAGGTGTGATGTGGGGTCCTGTGGGATTCTCGGGATTCTTCGGGCGATATGATGAGTCTACTGGCTATGGTGGCTACATAATATGTATACTATCCACATTTCTGAAGGTTCTGGCGCTTGCAAGGTTTATGCAATGTTCTGGTTGGGCCCCCGCTTGTGTAGATGTTGATTCGGAGCCCCCGCTCGCAGTGTGATTTTCGATCAACGTCCCCAATGCTATTTAGAATCGACGCTTGGCGTGGTGAACCCTTTGCCAGCTGTCGCTCCGTGGACCCCTTGCCCCGCTATTTGCCCCTCAACCGAGAGCTTTATGTCCCAAGCTGGTCGCGGTTTTCTTGCCCCACATGTCTTGTACGAAACCCGCGCGCGTTGACGCGCTCTCAGACTCTTCTGATGGCGCTGATGTGCCGGTGGTGGCAAAGAAGCCCGCTCGCCGCGTTCTCTGGGCCCTCTGACCGTGTCCCATAATTAGACCCCCCACCCCCCGTCGTGCTCGCATTGGCCCCCCAGGGGGATGGGGTCTCGATGCCGATTGTGCACGATTGGGGGATGGTGATAGATTTCTCATCACGTCATACCATGATAGCCCCAGGTTCTGGGCACTCCGATGAAGGCGATGTCAGCCAAACCAGCGGCGGCCGAACCCATATCAGTTGCTGCTACACCCGCCGCTGTGGACGACGACCACGCTGGCGAGGACATCGCCGGCGAGAGTGCAGATCCGATATGTGACGACGATGGTGATGAAGAAGTAGCCGCCGCGGGTTTACCTGACTCTACGGGGGCGCCTGATGATGAACTTGGCGACGCCGCTGCAGACGATGCTTCGGACACCATAGAGGAGATTGACGACGAAGACGGCACTACTGAGCAGTCCACCCTGAAGCGCCCAGCAGCAAGCTCGACAGCTACGGGCCCTCCTCCCCTCAAACGGCCTGCTGCTGCTACGTCCGCTGGCACGCCTGAGGTTGCGCCCGAGCCCAGTGACACCGACGAGGTGCCGCCCAATCCGCAACTGACGAACGACCAGCTCAAGAATGGCGACAATGTCAAGATCAAGCCAAATACTGGTCGGCTGTACTACGTGAATGGCAAGCCCCCCTACCGCGTGATGGAGTACAAGACGAAGTCTGCCGCCGGCGTGACCTTTCATTACAGAGACACCTCGAACCGTGCGCAGACGACCCAGATAGCCAATGTCCCGCCCCCCATGCCGCTGTTCTCTCTTCATCTGGGCATTGCTTCCGCTACCATGCAATATATGCAATAGTTATGTGGGGCCGTGCTAATGGACATGATGGTGATGACGACGATGATGGTCGTAATGCTGATGATGATGATGATGCTGATGATGATGATGATGATGATGGTGATGATGGTGATGATGATGGTGTTGATGATGAGAATGCTGACGCAGATGATGGCGGTGATGCAATCGACGATGATAACAACGATGACCAGTGTGACGAGCGAGTGACGGGGCGCATCATCAACTGATGCTGGCGATGATGCTTCTGATGGCGGTGAATGCACCACAGATTTTGACGACGATGCTGATGATGGTGGCGACGGCGATACCGACCATGACGGCCATTAGCCATTAGCCATTGAATAAGACGACGGTGGCGACTATTCGGCATGATCGGAATGCTGGGGCCAATCTGTTTTACAACACTTGCCCCTGGGTGCGTGATTGAACTGATGCCCGCGATGGCTTCCAGACCAAGACAGCACATGATGTCAGAAACCATATCCGGTACCGAGCCCCCGCCTTGAACAATGCTGGGACACGAGATGGGTCGACGATATCCCGCTCTTGGCCCTCCCCCTCTAACTGAGCATGCGGACCCCGCGGAACCCGAGTGTGATATCTTTGAGGAATCCTGCTCACGGGCCTGCCTCATGCCACTCCTTCCCTCCTTCCTCTCTGATGTCTCTCGGGGGTTGTTTATGTATTCTACCTTCAGCCTCCTCCACCTTCAATTACCTTCCGCTTCCTGGTCATCCCATTCCTCCCCCGCCGTAGAAAGCCATTTTGGGCTTCGTCGAGGTCATTCGTTTAAGTCAAGTGAGAGTTTGCTGATCACTCTATCTTTCTAGCAATGCCGCCGAAGAAACGCAGGTCAGATGCTGCGGCGGGTGGGTCGGTGGGCCCCAGTGTCAAAAAACTCGCTGTGGCTGGCGTGGGCATGGTTGATGCCGCTGCCAAGGAGGACGCAGCTTACGTCAAAGCAGTTTTGAACATGTTCGAGGACGAAGTCAAGGGTCCGAACCGGCAAGTCTATGATGTCCTGGACAAGGCCTACCCGACGAGAGCTGACCGGGAGGCGTTCTGCAAGTGGATCGAGGCATCGTTCCCAGGTAGCCCCGACCTCCAGTACATCGAGAACTTCGCCAGCGGCCCGAAGATTCTGCGAGCTTGGCAGTTGAGCTGGCACCCGAACAGCGGCAACTCGGGGGGGGCGAGCCATGATCAGATGCAGAAGCTCTTGACGCTGATGTGCATCAACGGTTTTCAGAGCAACAGCGACCTCCACATCGCCATCGAGAAGCTAGCGGTCACGGCGCCGAACCCCAGGTTGTATGCTGGTGAGCGGAGAGATCACCCCAAGATCGGCGGCTACACGCTCGGCCACCAGGACACTCACCGTAAAACCCGCCATCCCCGCTCCTCTACAGTTTCTTATGTCGTTGACTGGTGTTGGTTTCTTGCGGCCCTTTCGGGTTCCTCTCGTGGCGCTCTTCTTGAGTTCTCCGGTGGGCCTCTTCGGCCCTATCTCTGAGCCATCCTGGCCGTCTTGGAAGGGTATTGGGCAGCTTTGGATGCCTCTAGGGCCCTCTAGCCTGGATGCCTCTTGTGCCCTCTAGCCCCCAAACAAAGCACGGTGCTGTTCAAACGATTTGTAGAAACTCGTTCGGGCCGTTTGGCCCCGCCTCATGGGCCTGCCATGCTGGGCGATCCTTGCCTTGAGCTCTTCTAGAACCTTGTGGGAACCCTCTTGAGATCCTCGTGTGGCTCGCGATGCCCCTTGGGGGGCTCGATACTGGGCTCTCGGAGTGGCCTCGACGGCCCATCAAGTACGCAATGCAGAGTAAGCGATCGAGCCGAGCAACTTTGCTCGACGACCAGCCGCGCCCTACCTTGCACGACTAGTACGTTTCATTCCTCATTTCCTACCTCGGCTCTGCCTAGAAGGGTTCTTACCGTATAAGCTTAAGGGGCCGGGCAGTTGACTACGCCCCGGGCGGTTCCCCCGGCATCCGCCCCGCAATTCCCCCATGATCCCCCGCTTTGCCTAGCCTAGCTTAGCTTAGCTTAGCTAGGCTTAGCTTAGCTTAGCTTAGCTTATCTTGGTTTAGCTTAGCTTAGCTTGGCTTGGCTTGGTTTAGCTTAGCATAGCTTGCCCTTCCTTAGCTTAGCGCAGCGCAGCATAGCGCAGCATTAGCACAACATAGCATGGCATAGCCAATCATAACCTAGCATAGCATATCATACCATAACATAGCTCAGCATAGCATTGCATACCATAGCATAACATAGCATAGCGCATTATAGCATAGCATAGCATAGCATTGCTTAGCATAGTACAGCGCAGCATAGCATAGCATAGCACAGCACAGCATAGCGCAGCATAGCATAGCATCGCATGTCATAGCATATCGCAGCATATCATAGCATAGCCTAGTATAGCATAGCATAGCGCAGCATACCATAGCATAGCGCAGCATAACATAGCATATCATGGTATAGCGCAGCATAGTATAGCATAACATAGCGAAGCATATCGTAGCTTACCTTAGCTTAGCTTAGCGCAGCATAGCGCAGCGCAGCATTGGCACAGCCAAGCATAGCATAGTATACACTGTCATAGCGTAGCATATCATAGCATATCAGGCGGCACAAACGCAACGCCAACGCGAAAGGGTACATGTATATGCAGATGTAGGTGTAGGTGTAGATGTGGATGTAGGTGTAACTGTAGATGTAGATGTAGATGTAGGTGTGGATGTAGATGTAGATGTGAGTCTCGCTGTTGATGTTGACGTAGATGTAGATGCATGTGTAGCTGTTATTGTAGCCGTCGGTGTATATGTAGATGTTGCTTTCCTAGATGCTCCAACTCCTAGGTAGGGTCGCACTGGGATAATTCCTTCTTATGGTTTGCATTCCCGAGGCCTGTGATTTGCAGAAGGGTTGGAAGCGCACGTTGGCTCTGTATTTCGTGTTCCACGCGGTCAAGACGTCCGACACGCTGGCCAGCCTCAAGGAGAATTTCGCAGACACGCAGCTCGCCGACTTCGGCAACGTGTACGCCATCGTACCAGACGCCAAGTCCGACATCGATCGCATCGACACCAACCTCACAGCATCTCTCGTGGCTGCTGCCTCGCGGGAACGGCCGAACTGCTTCAAATGGTTACACCAAGTGCACAAGAAGTTGCTCCTCGGCGCCTCCGAGAAGGATGTGATCAACCTTTGGAAAGATGCAAAAGAAGTGAAGACAGTGTACGGCATCGGGCAAGGAGAAGCTACCGCTGTGGTGAACCTCTGCCGTGGCATCCCGAAGGAGGCTACTGATGTCTTGAAGAATGCTGCTGCCAAATGGGGAGTCGTGAAAGGGCCCGTGACGCACGCAGGCATCGGATGCCCTGCGATAACAGAAGGATGGGGCCCAGACATGAACACCGCTGATCTGTCCAATGAGTTCAAAAACACGGCCCACACCGTGCTCCTCATGGCCAAGAAGGCGGTGAAGGTGTTCGAGGACGCGCCTGCGCCTTTGCGGAAGCCGAAGGGCCACAAGGAGATCGTCGAGTTGCAGCTCCTGTGCCGCGGCTTCGAGGTAAGCATGAACAAGGTGAAGCAGCGGCTCCCCGAGCCCGTCTATAACGTGCGATAGGGTTTAACGACCCCCCACCTCCTCCTCCTCCTTCTCCTCCTTGCCTTCCTCCTCCACCTCCTCCTCCTTCTCCTTCTCCTTGCCTCCTCCTGCACTTGCGCCTACTCCTCATCCTCCTCCTCCCCCGTCCTCGTATTTTCTGTCCGTCCTGATTCCGCTTCCTCCTCCCCCTCCTCGCCCTTCGTCGATGAGCCTGTCTGCTCCTCTACTTCGACCTCCGCCTCCTCCTGGTCCTGCCTGGTCCTGGTCATCCTGGTCCTGCCTGGTCCTGCCTGGTCCTGGTCCTCCTGGTCCTGCCTGGTCCTGCCTGGCCCTGCCTGGTCCTGCCTGGTCCTGGTCTCGCCTGGCCCTGCCTGGCCCTCCTCCTCCTCCTTCTCCTCCTCTCTATCCCCCTCCAACCTCCAAGGCCAACGTGGACATGATGTACGAGAAGTTCATGGCTGGGTTCATGGACGCCAGCCTGCCGCCAGCAGTGGACAACGCACTGACCGACTTGGACATCTGCTTGATACCCGAGTTCCGCTCGCTGATAGCTGGCGTCGAGGATGAGGAACGTCGGAAGAACCTAGAGAAGAGCGAGGAGCTCAACGCGAAGCTGCAGCAGGCCTCGCTGGAGAACTTACTGCAACGTCTCGCTGTGGACAAGCAGGCGCTGATGAAGTACTACGCCGAAGTGGCGAAAGATATCAATTCGTTCAGCGACCGGGAGGCCGCCCGAAAGAAGAAGCTGTCGAAGACGGGGATGGATGCAGTGAGTGCCCGGATGACCACGCACTGCTATATCGTCGACACTTCGCAGGTGAAGTCCAACGAGCTCGTGGGCACGATGACGGCAGAGTACAGCTCGTGGAAGCACGACGTCGCCTCCCTCGCTACACAAATGTCAGATACCAGTCCGTCCGTATGGACGCTAGTTGTGTTGGATTTCTCAATCGCGCCGCCCATGGAGGACATGGACTCCTACATCCAAGTCTGCGCTAGCATCCTACATCAGGACTCCCTGAACGCGGCTTTCGTTCTCTTCCCGAAGACCCACAAGGCTCTCGACGTCGCTCGCCAGCTGAGCCTCGTGCGGCGCATCGAGGATAAGCTCCTTGGCGCGGCGGTGGATATCGAGAGGGAGGTCGACGTGCACTACAGCGTGCAAGACGAGCATGGGAACGATGCGAGGCCGCACAACCACAGAGCCAGACTATGCGTTTCGAGTCGGGTGGGGACCAAGAGCCCCTGGTGCAGGGGGAAGCTTTCGCGGGGCGCCTTGAATCTGGAGCTCATCAGGGTGAAGGACATGACGGTCTTCAAAGAAGTTGGATTTGGAGATCCGTCGAGGGAATTGGGCCCCGGTGACAGGTTGCTACAAAAAGGACCAGCCGCTTGCAAAGGAATCTTGGCCATGACGAGTGCGGAGAACCTACCGACGTGCACCAGGAACGACAAGCTCTTGGTGGTGGATATGTGTCCCGCCATTTCGAACCAGTGGGCGTCGGCTATCATGGACTCACAGCTTGAATGGTTGCAGCAGCCGGACATCACCCTCCCCATGCCGTTTTACCTCGGCATGAACAGGACCTCGAAGGAGATCTCCGCGAAGCTCAAGGCGGACTCAGCCGCCAAGATGTTGCGGGATTGGTGGTCCACTCAGGTCCCGTGCTCCGAGGATGATTGCTTTTGGAAATCGTTCGTTTCGATATTTCGCCCATCCTCCCACCTCCAACCTCAACCTCCACCTCCAGCCTCCATCCTCCCACCTCCAACCTCAACCTCCACCTCTGTTGAGATGGAGGAGAGGCTGATCATGAGGCACGGCATGCGATGGCCCACGTTTGTGCGTGTGTGCGTGAACGCTTTGGGCCACCTCGGTCAGGAGAGTGGTCAGGTGGCGCTGGCCTCGAAGCCCACTTTGGAGATCTTGGTGTGGAACTGCTCTGACGCAAGCAAGGGTGGTGATGACTATGGCGTGAAGCTGAGAGACGTACACCACGTAGCCTTCGACGACTCGACGTCCTGCAAGGACACTTGGGACGCCCAATCGCGGTCGGTGCTGGATGAGTTGAACTGTCTTGCACCTCGCGCTAGCACTGGCGCTGGCCCTAATGTCACGCATATCCAGCCTGACTACACGGACAGCCCGCCTCCTGTGATCGAGACCAAGACGCTCAAGGTTTTAGATGATTTCAACGAGGAGGAGGTTCTTTTCAAGTCGCGGCCTTTGGTCGACAAGCCCATCATCTACGTCATGAAAGACTTCAGAATCGTGCTCAAAGTATGCCCTCAGACCAGCGGGAACTCTGCCATGCAGCTTCGCCCATTCGAGATGTTCGGGTTCGGGGCCGGGGATTTCGTAGTTGAGAAATGGGATGTTTTAGCCAAGGACGTCAACAACCACCTGCAGTTCAAGATCGACGACGATACCAGCTGGATCATCTGGGGCCTGGAGGCCGACGAGGCCGGCGCGCTCGACGAGGTGAAGACTCCCACCCTTCTGTGCGAGGCCGTGGCTACCGCGCTGGAGAAGAAATCACTTGACAACGTTGGGCTGCAGTTCTACAAGTTGACTCCAAAAACAAATACAGATGGTACTACTGAAGTTCGTTTGCGGTACACTGTGACTTCGCACATCCAGTCGACTGCTTTCATTCCGACTCCGATGTCAGACGCTTTGCTGGTCAAGAAGGATCAGAAGGCCGCTCAGCTAGGAAGCGCCTTCCTCGGTAAGTTCGGGCTCCTCCCGAACAACGATTGTCGCATCTTGTGGGATTGTACCTTGGACGAGGCGAACCCGGCGCAGTTCAAGCCGATCAAGCCGAAGTGTTGGTTCGTGAAGAACACCTCGCTGGACGCGAGTACCTACTACGTGCTGGAGTGATTTACTGATGCTACACTTTCTATTTCGCGCTCGGCAGGTGGATACTATCAATGGAGGCGGGAGGTTGTGGACGAGTAGGGAGGGCGAGGAGGGACAAACAGGATGAGATGAGGAGGATAATGCCTACGATGCATACACTCTGGCCCCTGCAGAGATTTATTTGGCCCCAGTCGCTCGCAGACGGACTCTGCGGCTGTGGTCATAACCTCGACGAGTTCTGCGAGGCTCATGCTCGATGCCTCAGCGTGAGCAGAAACTTCCAGTAATCCTCCTCCGTATCCTTGCCTATCCTCCTTCGACTGGCCCTCGTTTATCCTCCTCCACCTCCTCCCCCTCCTCCTCGTGAACCCTTGCCTCGGCCTTCTCGCACTGGCGCTCGCGAAGGGCCCATGTCGGACGGCTGATGGGGGACCCATGAAGAGCCTGCGAGGACCCGTAAGGAACCCAAGAGGCGCCCATGAGGCGCATAATCATAAAATGATCCCAGTGCGACCCTACCTAGGAATTGGAGCATTTAGGAAAGTAACATCTACATCTACACCGACAGCTACATTTACATCTACACCTGCATCTACATCTACCTCAATATCAACAGCGAGACTCACATCTACATCTACATCTGCACCTACAACTACACCTACATCTACTTCTACATCTACACCTACATCCACATCTACATATACACCCACACCTGCATCTACATCTATACTTTCGCATTGGTTTTGCGTTTGCTTTGCATTGCCTTTGCTTTTGCTCTTGCCTTTGCTGTTGCCTTTGCCTTTGCTGTTGGTTTTGCTTTTGCTGTTGCTTTTGCTTTGCTTCTGCGTTTGCTTAAACTTTGTTTTTGCGTTGGCTGCGCTATGCTATGCTACGCTAGGCTGTGCTATGTTATGCTAGGCTATGGTATGCTATGCAATGCTGGGCTATGCTATGATATGCAGTGCTATGCTGCGCTATGCTATGCTATGCTATGCTATGCTATGCTGCGCTATGCTATGCTATGCTGGGCTATGCTATGATATGCTATGCTAAGCTAAGCTAAGTTACAGCTACGCGAAGCTAAGATAAAGCTACGCTAAGCTAAGCTACGCTAAGATGAGATACGCAAAGCTAAGGTAAGGGAGGGCAACTGGGGGAACCGCGGGACGGGGGCCGTGGGAACCGCCCGGGGCGGAGCCCACTGCCCGGCCCCTTTAAGCCCAGCGAGTAAGAACCCTCTAGGCAGAGCCTAGGTAGCGAATGATGGGGATAAGGATGGGGATGACGATGAGAAGATACTGCGGATGAGGACATGATCAAACGGAAAATGCGCGATGGCGCGAGGATAGCCGCGCTATCCGCACCGGGGGCGCGAAGCGCGAGGTGAGGTGACCTGGGCTGGGGTGCTGAAACCGCCCCCCGTCGTCGTCGTCGTCGTCGTCTTCGTCGTCGTCGTCGTCGTCGTCATCGTCGTCGTCGTCGTCTTCGTCTTCGTCGTCGTGGTGGTCGTCGTCGTGGTCGTGGTCGCGGTCGTCGTCGTGGTCGCTGTCGTGGTCGCGTTCGTCGTCGTCGTCGTCGTCGTCCTCGTCGTCGTCGTCGTCGTGCAGTCCAGTCCGTGAGGGTGGCGACGACGACGACGACGGGGGCGGTGCCTTTCCTGCCAGGTCCAAGTCAAGGGTGCCACCCTCGAGCAGAACAAGGGCATCGCCGATGCGATCGTCAGCGATCTTAACAAGGGCATGAGCCGCGCCGACGCCGTCGCGATCCTCGAGAAATGGAAGAACAACCTCACAGCCACACTTGAATCGGCAGGGTCCAACCCGTCATAGTAGGCTTCCCCACTCGAGGGAGGACGATGAGGATCCTAAAGGAGGAAAGCGAGGCGGGAGGGGATATGATGGGGACGTGTGAGTGATGATCCTGATGATGGGGGGGTGTGAGGAAAGAGGGCCTGGATGGAGATGCTTGTGATTTTCAGAAGGTGGGATGATGATAGTGATGATGAGCGCCTAGGAAGGATGCATATGCGGGCCAGGATGATTGCGGCGATGATGATGATGATGATGATGATGGTGATGATGATGATGATGATGATGCTGATGATGATGATGACGGGGATGAGGAGTTGGAGAGACGACGGGGAGGAGGATGAGGAGGAGGAAGAAGATGAGGAGGACCACAGCGCCGACCTGCTTCTGTATATTAACTTTAAGAGCGAGCCGTGAGCTCGCCACCAGCCGCTTGGGCCGACGCTCGACGCTTCTGCCCTCGCCCACCCGACGCAAACGTTTTTTTCGGCGGAGCCCCTAGCGAGAGCATGACTTGGATCATCAAGTAAATTCCCTTCGCAGTGCTTGCTTGTGCACGCCTGGCACCGGCGAGCTAGCTCGCGCGATCGTTCATACGACTGTTCAAGGGTCCTCGCTAGAGATGCACGCGGTCACATGCACTGGCAATAAATACACCGCCCGTTTGATTGGTCTTCGGCTATGAGATATGATGTGTCGTGATTCCTCACTTTAGGGATTTCTCCCCTCCGTCGCCCTCTCCCCGCCCGTCGCTCCCAGCCTCGCCATTATCCTGGTTCTCCCTCTCCTCCTCCTCCTCCTACTCCTCCTCCTCCTCCTCCTCCTTCTCCTCCTCCTTCTCCCCCTTCTCCCCCTCCTCCTCCTCCTCCTCCTCCTCCTCCTCCTCCTCCTCGTCTTTCTCGAACCCCCCTCTCCCGTCCATCCTCTTCCTTCCTCCACTCCCTTCGTCGTCTTTGGCTGGGACGTCATGGCAAGACAACCTCCTCGGACGTTTCTCACGCCGGCATCCGCCCCGGCCCCTCATTGCCATGCTCGCTCGTGCAAGCTCAAAGTCGCTTACTGTTGCACTGGACTCAGATGTGCAGCCGCGGAGCTCGTGGGATACCAAATCCGACGGCTCGATTTTGAATGGCCCCCTTTCTTTCTCTTTTCCCGCCCCCCCCTTCCACTCGCCCCCCATGGGCAAGATGAGGGATGAGAGAGAAGCACGATAAAGGATCGAGGACGAGGAGGATCGATGATCGATGATCGACGTGCATGGAAATCATAGGTTTTCTTTGGGCCTCCTGAGGCGCCCCCGTGGCCGCGACTTGACCCGCCTCGGGGTTTCGAGGATCGATGGTTTCGGAGGTTGCCTCCTCCATCTTCTGCTCCTCGATCTTCGTCCTCCTCATCCTCCTCGAGCCTCCTCATCCTCATCCTGCTCCTCCTCCTCGTGCTCCTCCCCCGTCTTCTTCTGCTCCTGGAAGTGGTGCTGCAAGAAGAGGGGGCGGTGGCAGCTCTGAATCGCTGTCTCTACGATGACGGGGTCAATTTGATCTCGGAGCTCGGCAATCTTTCTCCGCCAGAGCGCCGCAGGTACGCAATTGAATGCCTGCATGTCCCCATATTAGGCTTCGCACCAATGCGCATTCGATGTTTTTTTTTTTTGTCACACATACCCGACGGGTCGCGGCGGCCAAGACGCCCTAGAAGGGTTTCACAGAGGCCCCGCGGGGCCTTCAAGATGAGTCCAATAGGCTCCGAACGGTCTTGACATGCTTTGTGGCAATCATGTGGGACCTCGTTTGGGCGTCTCGGGGCCTCTGGTCTTTTGGGGGGCTCCTAGATGAGCCTCTTCTTGGAAGACGCATCTTGACGGCCCCGTGGGGCCTCTCGGAACCCTTCTGGGGCGTTTTGGCCGCCGCGGTCCGTCGGGTGCGATGCGTGAAGTACATCTGCATCACTGTGAAACCTATTAGGGGATCTGCATGCATTCAATTGCGCGCCTGCGGCACGCTGGCGGAGACTGATTGCCGAGACCGTGATTCAGAACCTCCACCGCTCCCTCTTGCAGCACCACTTACAGGGGCAGAAGAAGACAGGGGAAGGGTGCGAGGAAAAGAAGGAAGAGGATGAGGAGGAAACGGAAGATGAGGAGGATGACGAAAGAAACCTGGGCCCAAGATGAGTATGAGGGGGAGTAGGAAGGAGGAAGAAGAAGAAGATGAGGAGAGAGATGATGATGAGGAGGATGAGGAGGGGGAGCCCGCCCCCACACCATGAGGAGGTCAGAATAGAGTCGCAGCGTGAACGCGGCACCTGCGACGAGCTGGCCGGCGAGGCCGTCGTTTGAGTTTAACGGGCCTGGCACGAGCGCCAGACCTCCTCCTGGCCAGCAGTAGACAGCTGCCAGACGATGGCGTGTGACGAAGCGGGGACCCCCGGGTTCCCTCCTCCTCCTCCTCCTCCTCCTCCTCCTCCTCCTCCTCCTCCTCCTTCTCCTCTTCCACCTTTGGCGACGACGACGGCGACGGCGACGGCGGACGACATCGGCGATAACCGCGTCGTTTTCGGATTGCGGCGCCGAGCCTGATTAGTGGCCCTTGCCTGTCAAAATCCGCGAGCTGTGACCTCAAGTAGGTCACAGCTCACTGACCTCTCGTAGGTCGCGGAACGAGCCCACAAAACTCCCGAGAATGTCCCAGGAACGATGAGGGCGATGCTGACGAGGACGACGCGGTTGCTGAAGATGATGGTGATAGTAGAGGAAGTGGGAACCAAGAAATATGATAGATCATACATTTAATGTAGCATGATACTTAGGAAGCGCTTCCCCACTCTTTCGGGGCGACGACCACGTCGTCGCCATCCTGAACTACGCCGGTGACCTGGAAAACCTTGCAATGCATGTTTCGGTTCTGCGTGCTGTTCACACTTGCCCGAAAACGACCTCATTGCCCATGCGGGCTTATCAAATACCAAGTGCGAATATGTTTGTTATGACTATGGTAATGGTTAAGATGCCGATGAGCATGCTGGCGATGACGGTTACCATAAAGATGCTGATGCGGATGCTGGCCGCAACGACGAGGATGACGATGGTGGCGCACGTGACGATGAGGAAAACAATGCGGATGAAAACCCTGACGCAAATGATGATGAAGAGGCTCACGGACGACGGGATCGCGCGCGTGCGCGCGTGCGTGTGCGCATGTCTGACCACAACCAC